AACTGAGGAGGACCTCATGCACTTACTGCAGAGGGTCAAGGACTGCAGCCTTCAATATGGACTGAGGCTCAATGTCAAGAAGACAAAAATTCTCACCACCGGACCAATCGGTAGCATCAGGATGGATGGCGAAGAGATTGAGATTGTTCACAGCTTCAGTTTGCTTCATGGGATATATTACCAGAGTAAAAATATAGCTCCAACAGCAACTGTTCCAGACTCTATGTTATTTAATTTTTGGCTCATGTACTTTTAACTTGTTAGTTAAATTTGTGTCTTCTAGGCTACAACCATTCCATGTTATAATGAGGGCCACTTTTCCTTATGTTATCCCCTTAAAAACCAATTTGGGAGGAGCAGAGGCTCCTAACTAGAGAGAATTTAGAAGTTTTATAAAACCACTAGTCCTTGCAACTTTGTAGTACTGGTTTTGGCAAAGACTGTGGCAATATAATAATACTTATTTTGTTTAATCGGTTATGTTTGTTTGATTATATAGAAAGGATAAAGAGAACAAAAAACAAGTAAGAATGAATCCTGAAGAAAAGAAATTATGCTCATCTTGATGACAACAAGATTATGATTTAAACAAAAGAGGGAAAATGTGGAAAGCCAAGTATCAAATTTAATATTAATAATAAACCAAATGTTGTATCAGGATATGAGGGAGGTAATACAAGCTAAAGGTCACCCTGTGTCACTAAGGCATTCCTTAAAAGTCAACATTGTCCTTAGTTTTTATTTACTGAATCCCTCCCTGAGATATGTATAAAGTAAACAATAGAGAGGAACTTGACCTTATCTACAAAAGACGTCACCATGATCCTTTTTGTTTTGTACTCCCTTAGGATCTTCCTTTGTCTACCTTCCTGCTGATTCTCAATAAAAAGGCAGAGAAGCATGGCTTGAGGTCTTGAGTCACAGGAACTGCTCGCACCCTGTCTTTACTCTCTCTGTTCTGTCTCATTCCTGGTTGTCTGTCTCATTATTAATAGTTGTAAAAATATTTTACCCTCCCGGCACTGGCTGAAAATCACCTGTGACTTCATCTATAGCCACTGGTGAGAGTCAGCGCCCAGAGCCATCAGGGGCTTTAAGCTCGTTGTCCACTGCTGTGGTGTGGACAGCTGAAACCCAGGCCCCGACAGGCACCTGGGGGAGGGAAAAAAAAACCCCAGACTCTACTTCATGCTCTTCTGGAAAAGGAGGGGCAGTCTCCTGTACCAGTCAGATCCAATTTGACGGTACACACACACACACACACACACACACACACACACACACTTTTTCTTCTTCTTTTTTAAAAAACTACTACTTCAGCCATTGTGGCCCTCTGCCCGGGGCGGGCTGCACTCGGCCCCTGGCCTGGGGCGAGCCGTCGCGGCCCTCTGCCCAGGGCGGGCTGCCCTCGGCCCCCAGCCCGGGGCGAGCCGTCGCGGCCCTCAGGAGCAAGAAGGCAAGCAGCTGTAACCCAAGACCACCAGTAAGGTGGTAAAGCATCCTCCCTTCCCCCCTTTATATCTACGCCCCTGTTCAGCATGAAGAAGCCAGAGAGTCGGCATCCAATTCCCAAATCAATAAGACAGTTGGTTTAATTACTATTGGAAAATGCTTGTCATTTCTCTGTAGCATCTGGTCTCCACTGGACCCTCATTATTTCCTTCACCTGCTCCCCCCACCGACCAAACTGTGCAGCTCTGCAACTGCATCCTGGCCCATCCTCACCCTTCTGCCCCCAACCCTCACCTCTTGTACCCCCAATATGTTTTTCCCAATAAAAAAAAATATTTAAAAAAATACTTTACCCTCAGTCTGCTACATAGTAGTATTTTTTGTTCTACTAGTTTATTTACAAAATTCAAATACATTGTTTTCCAGAACAGATTCTTTCAATTTCCCTCACACACACCAGACAAATTGTACAACTCCATGATTAATCCACCTTCTCCCCTGCACATACTCATCCCTCAGTTTCCACTCTTCCCCCCCACCTTGCATACTCATTCTACAATAATGGTTTCATACAATATTTGTCCTTGTGGGACTGAATTAGTTCACTCAGCATATTGCTCTCCAGTCCCTCCCAAGCTAGGTAATAATTTGCAAAATCATTGCTCCTGTGTGCTGCATAGTATTCCATTGTGTGAATGTGCCATAATTTCTCAATCTATTTGCTTGCCGCTGGACAGCTGGCTGTTTCCATGTTCTTGGAATGGTGAATAATGCTGCTATGAACATTGGTGTACAAGTCTGTTTGTGCCTCATTTCTCATTTTTTCCCCCAGAGTATATTCTATTAGTATTTTTTTGAGGCAATTCTCTCTTATCTTCAGTCCTCTTTTTTTAAAAAAAAAGAAAGAAAGAAAAACACCCAAATTTTTAAAACAGCAGCTTTCTCCATAATAGACTCACCCTACCCCCAACCTCCACTGCCTTCGAGTTCGAACTGACTCGTAGCTGAACCTCCATCAGGATTTCCAAGTCTGTAAATCACACAAGAGCAGACTCCCAGGGATCAGTCTGTCCTGACCCGTTCATAGTCTATTATGAACGTCTAATAAACCTCAGTTTCTTTCTCTTGCTCTCAAAAAAAAAAAAAAGAAAAGAAAAAGCAAACTCCCCTTCTTTCTCCTGTGGAGCAGCTGGTGGATTAAAACTGGCAGAGGTGGCTCCTAAAAATTTGCAATGCAACTCTCTACCTACTATTATTGCTTACCATCAAGTCAGAACCGACCCTAGCTGACCGTCCAGCAGGTTTTCAGAGGCAATAAATTGCACTGGATGAGATTGCCCATCTTTCTCCTTTGGAGCAGCTGGTAGATTCAAACCATACACCATTGTTTGGCAGCAGAACTCCTTACCACTAAATTACCAGAGCTTCCTCTCTACTCTGTTGTTGTTCTTGTGTGCCATCAAGTAGGAACCGACTGATAGCTGGCCTTCCAGCAGGTTTTCAGAGGCAGATCTCATATCAGAGGAGACTGTCCATCCTTCCTTAGAGCAGCTGGTGGATTCAAACCATATGCCTTTGGGATTGCAGCGCAGCATTATACCTCTAGGCCAACAGAGCTCCCTCGACCCACTAGGCCACCCTTAATAAAATAAAGCTTTAAAATTTAACATCCTTCTTCCTTGCTGTCTGTGTGCGTGTGTGCGTGTGCAGTCTTGCACGCTTGTAAGCATTTTTGACAGCTCTAAACAGGGAATGGACTTTGCCTCGCTCCAGTTTTGTCATTAATTAACATTCCTTGGGGAAGAAAAGGAATTCTATTTTATGTTTTCTGCTCTTTTCCAGTAGCACAATGGCCATGATGAAGAAAAAATTGCAAGGACTCGTGGCTGCAACCATCACACCGATGACTGAGAATGGGTAATTATGTGGGGCCATACGGTGATCTGTTCTCTCTCCATGGAGAAGAGAATTTCTCAATAATCAGGAGTCCCTGGGTGGTGCAAATGGATAAAACAGTCAGCTCCTTCCAAAAAGGTTAAAGGTTTGGAGACACCCAGAGGTGCCTCAGGATAAAATTCAGCCACTGGAAACACTTGTAGAGCATAGTTACACTCCGACAGAATCTGCTCTATATCAGTTGGTATCTGTTTTCTTTTTGTAATGACCATTACATACACTCTGCGGCTCTCTCTGCTGTTGCCAAAAGGCTGCTTCTGTTGGTACACCTGCATCATCTCAGATCCCAAGTTTGAGAACCAAAACCTATTGCTATCAAGTTGATTCCAACTCATATAAGATATGGTAGAACTGCCCTTTATGGTTTCCTCGCTGTGGCTGGTGGGTTTGAACTGTCTGACTTTTCGTTAGCAACTGAGCACTTAACCATTGAACCATAAAGGCTCCTCCAAATAAAGGTCTCAATTACCCTAAACAGTAAAGGAAGGATTAAGATATGGTAGCTTTCCTTTCTCCTGGTGTCTGTAGAACCACATGGTAAATTTTTTTTTGGTTTTTGTCCCAGCTCTGGCTTTACTACATGCAGCAAACAGAGTTGAGTGAGGAAAAGCCTATTTTTTTACAGAAACTATAGCAAACTCAGACCAGGCCCCTCTAGGGATTCTGTGTCTAGAGATCTGCAACATTCTCCCCCTAAACTGTTTCTGGACTTGATGAAAATGTCCCTACCCCAAGGAAGTGAGGAGAGTAGTTGCAACACAGACCCCTTTAAGCATATTAATAGTCTTGTTTCAACATTGCTTAAATTTTGGGGTGGGGGCGCGACAAGGCTGGAGGTAACAATAGATGTGTAGAGTAGTCATACTAGTAAGTACTTTGACTTCCAGGTGACTTGTCCCAGCCCATTTGCTTGCACATTCAGATAATGGTCACGTGCCATGGGTGCCCAATTATAGATAATTTCTCTCGGACATTGCCCTTAATAACAATATGTTGCATTCACCCTGGGAAGTTCTAAGCATTTTTGACCTGTCAGGACAGTAAAAATGCTAAACCAATTAGAATTCTGGCTGTCTTAAGTTTATTTTTTTTTTTCTTTAGAAAAATGTAGTAACCATAATCTATGGAGGGAAAATCCCTCAACACCACAAACCCAACCAGTGCACTACCTCCAGCTCAAGGCCACCTTCTATCAGGTTCCTGAGACTAAGTGGTAACTGAGTCATTTCTGACTCATGGTGGTGCTCCCTTGGGTTTCCAAGGCTGCGTAAGTCATAACAGAAGAGACTACCCATCTTTCAATCACAGAGCACTTGGTAGATTTAAACTATTTGAAACATGAAGCCTTTTGGTTAACAGCACAACTCACCACAGACTATGTCAGCTCCCTAACAGTAATACATGCAATCTAATCCATTCAGCAGAGCTGAGCACAAATTCAATATATACTTAAATCAATAAGCTTAAATTGCTATTGCACAAAAACGTATTTAAGATACCTTTAAATAAGGTCTTGCAACATTTATAAACTTTAATCCTGCCCCCTCAAATTCATACCTCATATTCACCCTTCAGCCTGTTTTCAGAGGTTATAAATTGCACAAAAGGAGGTCCCCATCTTTCTCCGATGGAGCTGCTGGTGGAGCCAAACCACCAGAGAGACAGCTCCCTACAGACTATACCACCAGGGCTTCTCTAACCCCTCAGAGGAGGTGAAATTTCTTACAGCAATAAGTTGTCATTAAAATTGGTCACCCCATGCACATTTTCCACTTAGATTATGGACAGCTTCTACAGTGCATGAGTAAACGAGTTGTTATTTAGGATGAAATTCTTGCTGAGCGAGGATTTAAATTACTCAGCTGGCCAGTAGTCACGTTTCCCCTCCTGTTGCACAAGGTCTAAGAAAGACAGCGGTCAGCTGTTTCTCAGTGTCCCAGCCCCCTGTTAGGCCGATAAAGGGGAACATATGTGATTCATGAGTAGGCAGGTTTGACTGACTTCCTGTTACAGCGTGAGAGTCCCTTCGTAAGCTCAAAATCCTGCATCTGGTGGATGCTACTTTAACCTTTTTAATCAGAACCCTCCAAACCTGGAAGTGGCTGCCGAAAGCAGCTTTCTTTGTTCATCGGGGATTGACTGAGAGTCAATGTGGGTTTTTTCTCACTAGCCTGATGTTTTCTCAAGAAGCTAGACATGTGCCTGAGATAGATTTTTTTTTTTAAAAAAAAGACTCTACTTTTCTGGATTCTTCTCCATTTCCTGAATAACTCTGGTCCTCTGCTGTCTCCATGCCACTTTCTGGCCTTTACTTCATCAACTCTTCTATGAAACTCATTTCCCTGAAGTATGGCATAAAATAGGAAGATATTCTATGTAGAAGCCTTGTGAGTGTTAAATGATAAAGAGCTGGCGACCTGCTTCTGAGAAGGGACATCCATGACAATCTTGGGGAGCACAGCTCTATCTTGAGACAGATGGGGTCACCATGAGTTGGAATTAACAGGGCAGCACCTGTTTGGATTTATTTATGCAGGTGAATTATGTTAGTTTGTCTCCCTCCCTTCTCCTACCCTCAATCTGGTCCATCCAAGCGTTTTTGTCAGTTCAAAGCAGGTTTGGAGCACCATCAAGAGCAGACAGGTATTCATCTGCTTGCCAGTTAATGTGGAACCTGCACTTATTATGTGTTTCAAGTAGGCTGAAGGGACACCCAGGATAATAACTGAGATTCTGCCAGATGGCTTGCCATCACAGGAGCCTGCCTAACTTGAGGTTCATATGATACCATGAGTTCCATAATTCTGAATGGCTACACAAGGACTTCCCATCCCAATTTTCTTTATTAATGCCAGTGACTTTACTAAGAGACTAATATTGGTCTGTGGGTAGGGAGTTATGCTGCCAACCCAAAGGCAGTCAGTTCAAATCTAGCTTTTAGTTGCTCCATGAGATGAATGGTCTCCCTCTGTGCAGTTTACAGCCTGCAAAAACTGCGTGTGTGTGAGCTTAAACATAGGGTCACATAATTTGATGGGTGGAATAAGGGATGGTTAAATGAAAGGGGAAAGGTCTGATGTGAAAAAACATGTATAAAAATTTTATGAATTTTGTAAACCAGTATAAAATTTACAAAGGAAAAAAAAGCCTATTTGGAGGTTCAGCTATGAGTCGATTCTGACTTGATGACAATGAATTGTTGTTGAGTTGTTGTATTCACTAAATATTCAACTGAGTGCCGTTAAATTAGAATCGTCTCATAGCTGACCCTCCTGTAAGTTTTTAGAGGCTGTAAATTAAATAGGAGGAGATTGCCCATTTTTCTCCCTCTAAACTTCTGGTGGATTTGTATTACCAGAATGGTGCGATCTTTGCATTGACAGTGCAACTCACTATAGACTGCATCACCAGAGCTCACTTTGAAGAGGAAATTGGCAGAAACAACATGTTGATAGTTGCCATTGGGTTGAATACGACTCATAGCAACATTATGAACAAGAGACCTAAACTGTCTTATCCTTGCCATCCTCGTCATCTCTGACATACTGACATTTGAACTTATTGCTACAGTCACTTTGTCAATCCATCTTGTTGGGGGTCCTTCCTCTCTTTCAATGACACTCCACTCTCCAAGCCTAATGCCACTTTCCAAGGAATAGCTTCTCTGGACTACATGTCTAAAGTATGAAAGACAAGCTTCACCATCTTCGCCTTCAAGGAGCACTCTGGAATACTTTTTCCAAGATATGTTTACTGTTTGTTCTTTTGTCAACCCATGGGATATTCAGTACTCCTCTTCAGCACCACAACTCAAAGGCATCATTTCTTCTGTCATCCTTATTTTTTTAATTGTCCAGCTCTCAGATGCATATCAAGTGATTGAAAAGACCAAAGCCTGAATCAGGCACTCCTTAGTCTTCAAACTGGTTCCTGAAAGCAGTCTTGGCTAATGCACTATGTCCCAATTTCTTGAGTGCTGGTACCAACGATGTTGATTGTTGATCCAAGCAATATGAAATCATTGACAACTTCAATCTTTTCTCCATCTATTATAATGTTGCTGATTGGCCCAGGTGAGGGTCATGTTAAAATGTAATGCATAGTAAGTGTTCTTAATCTTCTATGGCAATAATTTCACAAACTTCTTGTTGAGAGGTTTTTCTCTGATACTGAGTCCACATTTCTCTTCATAGAATCCAGTTTTGTGGCTAATTTGCTCAGCAAAGAGATTGAATAGGTAGAGAGAGAGAATATATCCCTGATACACACCCTTCCTGATTTTAAACCATGAAGTGTTCCCTTGCTCTGTTTTAATAATAGTTTCATGGTCTAGGTATAGTTTTCACATGAACACAATTAGGTATTCTGGATTCCCATTCTTCACCCTGTTACATAGTTTGTTATGCTCCATAAAGTCAAATGCCTTTACATAGTCAATAAAACACAAATGGACATTTTACTGATATTTTCTGCTGCCAGCCAGGATCCATGTGACATCAACAATGATATCCCTGGTGCCACAACCTCTCCTAAACCCAGATTGAACTTCTGGCAGTTCCTGTCCATGTACTATTGAAGCCATTTTTTATTATTTTCAGCAATAATATGTGATGTTAATAATTTTTTTAGATCATTCTCACATTCTCTTTGATTATCTTTCTTGGGCATGGAGACAATGAATTTCTTCAAGTCACTTGGTCCGGCAGCTGTCCTCCAAATTCCCTGGCATAGACTGGTGTTACATCCACGGTTACATGTTAGTTGACACATGCCAATTTCTATCCCATTAATTCCTGGTCTCTTATTTTTTTCCCCAATGGCTTCAATGCAGCTTGTACATCTTCCTTTATTACCAATGACTCTTGTTCATATGGTACTTCCTAAAATATTTTAGTATCAATCAATTATTTTTTGGTATAGTGCCTCTGTGTATTCCTTCCATCATTTTTTATTCTTTCTGG